GGCCGGCTCCGCGCCGGGGCCCCGGCGCCGCGGGCGGGCGGCGGGCTCGCCGCTGGGGCCGGCGGCTGCTCTGCGGGGCGGGTGCTGGCTGCCCGGCCGGGAAGGGGCGCGTTCCTCCCTGGGCTGTGAGCGGGGCTGTCCCGCCTCACGTCCTCCCGCCGTTCGGCTGCCGGGGGGCCGCGAGGGCTCCCTGCCTCGCCGCTTTTGCCATGTTGTCTGTACCCTGCCGATATTTTGCTTCCTAAGATGCCTTCGTGTCTCACAGACCTTCCATCGCTTTCCTCTCCCCTCCCTCACCGTCTTCCCGCAGTTGGTTGTTGTGTGCTTGGTCACATTACGCATTTCGCCTTCTTAATATGCATAAGTGTATGAAGGGACAGTGCCAAGAGAATGGACTCGGGCTCTGCTCGGTGGTGCCCAGCAGTAAGAGAGGCAATGGGCAGACACTGATGCACAAGAAGTTCCACCAAACATGAGGAAGAACTTCTTTGCTGTGCAGTTGACCGAGCATTGGAACAGATTGCCCAGAGAGGTTCTGGAGTCTCTCTCACTGGAAATATTCAAGTACCATCTGGACACAATCCTGTGCCGTGTGCTTTGGGATGGCCCTGCTTAAAAAGGGGTGTTGGACCAGATGACCCGCTGTGGTCCCTTCCAACCTGACCTATTCCGTGATTTAATTTTGTAAAGCCTTGGCTAGCGTAGAGCTTACACTTGGACATGTGTGTATTTCTTACCTATTATGTAGTCCTAAAACAAGATGAGAATAAATAATTTGTTGGAACTGGAAGACATTAGTATTAATGCCAAAAAACCTCCAGTTTGCAATTTTGATGTGGAAATAGAAATATAATTTACCATACTGAAATAGGGAAATTTGCAATGTGTGAGAAAATAACATCAGAAAGTGATACTGTGTAAGGTAGTTCAGAGCACAGCATTAAGGATGGCAAGTCGGTTTGGCTTGTGAGAGCCCTGTCATGTCTCACAAGATGTACATTTTGAAACATTGTACGTAGTTGGTCCAGAAATTTAAAGTTAACTACAGAATCATGTAATCATTTTTGGGTTTCTCTTCAGAGTTTTATTCCATATAATGCTTTAATGGTGATGAATTATAGTATTGCAGGGGATATGGGCAGAATAGATTTTATCCCACCCCAAATTTCCAAAGCACGGGGTTCTTTTTCTCCCCACTATCTCCCCAGACCCTCTTTGTCTCCTTTTTTGTCTGAGAAAAAACTAAGACTGCTTGGTTTCTTTCTTAGTTTCTTCCTTCTGGGCAGTCTTTGCTGGAGGCATTTCAGAAGTCTTAATGAATTATGGGAACTAGTTCTGTTTTATATTATGGAGATATTCCAAGACTCTTAAGAAGATAATGATCTTCCTTTGCAAAATCTATGCTCATTAATTCTTATAAGATCATGGTAACCTAGATTTTGTAGTGTTCTTCTGTTTTAAATGGAACAAATTTGCTAGGAAGACTTAGTAGATGTATTGGCTACATGTGAGTTCTTTAGGGTAATTCCAGCATTCAGTGAGATGTTCTGATTTTCTTTCCTCATCCACTTTGTTATGAGGTACGTGAACTCTGCAAGTAGTAGTAGAATATTTCACCCCTTTTAAATAGGGCTTTTGACATAATTTTCTCCGATGCTGTGTTTTTGTTGTGAAAAAGGACAAAGGATTGAGTTAGTAATTTATGCTTCAGTAAGAAGGTAGAAAAGTGTAATTGTTCTCTAGATGGTTATCCATTTTTAATGTCTCTGTTTAATTCCTGTGTGTTTGGTGGGCTTAGTACCCACTAAGGTATTAAAGGCTTCCTGTATGTAGTACATCTAGCTTGTTGATTGTTTTCTCTGGAAAAAAAACTTACCCCTTCTTATTTTTTCCCCGTTAATTGCTGCTGTTATTGAAGTATCTCTTAAGTGAAAAACATAAAAATTCATAAATTTGATCCCAGCTGTTTCTTTCTCACCCAGCAGTTTCTCAAAGTTTTAAATTTAACTTGGGCTGATTTTTATTTTGGCTGTCCAGGTGCCCTCTTTCCTTAGTTGTCTGTATATCTTTCAGGTTATTTTGTTTGTTTTTCTAGTAACTTTGAGGGTGCTTCATTTGTTAATCAAAAATATTCTGAATTCAAACAAAGGAGAAATAGATTACCATGTTTATTGACAGAGCAGAAGTAACTGTTTAAAAACTTTGCAGATAAATGGAGGTAAAGTATGGCTTTATAGAGGTGAAATTCTCTTATTGTTTCTATAATGAAGTTCTTTGAAAATAAAGAATCCATTGCAGATAATCAAAGCAATTATTAAAACTTAGGACATTGTTATTCAATTTTAAAAGTAAATTATTAGTGTCTTCTAATTTTACTTAGTTATATATAGTTAGCTTCACTTAATGGCTGTGTGCTTTCTAAAACTATAGAGGAATTAACTAAAAGCTTTGAATTAAGGAATTTATTCTGTTACATAGTTGATCTGAAATGGCAGGTATGATTAAGAAATCAGTTATTGTAGATCTACATGATAACTGTTCTATTTGCTTGTTAATAGGCTGAATATTTATCGGAAACCACTAACAAAGCTGATCCTGTAGCTGCCAAGGAAGAACTCTTGGAGGAATGTGAGCGTATTTGGAAGCAGATGGAAGAGGTATGCAAATATAAATGATAGGCTAAGTTTATTATAAAGCTTTTTCAGAATTATTTTATTCATCACATGCTTGCCCCACCCCCTCCAAAGAAACCACTTTGATAAAAAACCAAACCAACCAAACAACCAAAAAAACCCGAACCAAAAATCAAAAACAAAGAGAAAAAGAAAATAGTATCTTCAGAAAGGTCAAATGTAGAAGTGCTTGGAGGGGTGAAGAATGCCTTGTAGTGTCAATGTGCTGAAGTTATGATTTAGTGTGGGAGTATATATTAAAATTACAGAAAATGAAACAATTTATTTGTGTTGTGGTAGTACCAGCATACAGAGATGCTTCTCTCTTTAGCCTCACAAAAGATGGGATTCCATTTCACAGATGCTTTGGATCTTGGAGGAGAGGCAGAGGATGATGATGATGTCTCCCTATGCTTACTCCCTTGCAAACTCACAGTTACATTGTCATGGTTAAAATTTCTCTCATGTACATAGTGCAATATGTTAAAAAATAAGAGTTTAGGACTGGTTATTTTTATTTTCAGGATTCCAAGAAAAGATAAACTTGTATTAGTTTTTAGGGAATACTGTTTTTCCTGTAAGATTCTGCTGAATCTGTTGAAAAATCATATTCTAAATTATATTTTCAGAGTCTTAATCACTTCACTCAATTTCCAATTGTATGTGGTATTTGCTTGAGTTCTGAGTTGTAGGTTCAAAACAATAAAATACCAGAAACTGAAGTAAAAGTATTTCCACCTTAAAGGAGAACAAAGTACAGACAACTCACAGTGCAGTAATTTTGCACAAGTTGATTTAAAAAGACTAATGGGATTTATTTCTTTTTGAGTATTCAGATAAGTTCGCATGTAACAAGTGGCAGGGAATGCTATCTGAACTTTCTATGGAATTTTCAAATTAGAAGAGAAATACGAATGTTTACTGTTTTGAATGTACTTGAAAATATTTGATACCTTGTATCTCATTCCCAGCATGCCCAAAATAGTATAAGAAGTGATGTGTTATTTTTGGAAGTTGATGAAAATAGTAGGATTTTTATTATTTGGATTTTGCATCCTGGATGCAAAATGTTCATGTTTCAGCAAAATGCTTAAACTAATAGTCATTTAATTAGCTCTTCGGTTATGTGGTTGCATGTAATGTTCCAATAATTTTGTGTCATCATGATCAATTTTTGTGGAAGAAATCCTATACAGTGTCCTGGTATGCAAACATTAACAGCAAGGTTTCCAAAGTACTGCTTCATAGAATACATCCTGCCTTGTTATGGTCAGGTTATATTGGTGACAGAAAAAAGAGTGTTTAGCAGGTGTCACCTCTTTATGCCTTGGATATTTGTGATGGGCTGACTTTCAGACTGCATATACACCTCATTGCAGTCATGAGAGCTGATGTATTCTCCCAAAAACCAGATCACTTCTGTACAGTATACTGCCCTAAATGACTTAAAACTAAAAATACATACTATATTATACTGTTTGGAGCAGTCTGTTTGGAAATCCAGAAGTGTAGCAGGAAGTATGTTAATTTCTCAGCAGTTCCCTGTTCAGCCTTGTCCATGACTCTCTTCACTCTTTCTCATGTTATTTATCTGTTCAATGCCTTTCCCCGTATGAACTTTTCCTCCATAACTTGCCTTTTTACTCAAAGAATACATCTTTCTTTAGCTGCTACTTTTCTCCTTCAGAGTTAATTAAGTTCTACTTTATTGTGTTGTGATTTCAAAACGTTTCTTAATTTGTGATTCTGGGTTGGGGTATACAGAATGTGGAAGGATCCAAGTTAAAATTATTGTATTTCTATATTTAAAAAGTTGTGTTTAAATTTCTAAGAATTGTGTTTTGTTCTTACAACAGAGAAGAGTAAACAAACTTTCTTTGTGCTTTATTTATTTTCTTTTCTACCAAGTGTCAGAGCAAGCTAATGCTTCTAGGAGCAGAAACAGTGGCACCATCAGATGCCAAGGTAAGACAGTGGGTTTTTAGAAACAATTCATTTTCTGTTATGACCATAGAATCACAGAATGGCATGGGTTAGAAAGGCCCTTAAAATCATCTAATTCTAACCCAGGCATAGGCAGAGACACCTTCTACTAAATCAGGTTGCTTTAAGCCCCATCCAGCCTGGCCTGGAACCCTTTTAGGGATTGGGCATCTGCAGCTTCTCTGGGCAACCTATTCCAGTGTCTCTGCTTACACAACAAAGAATTTCTTTCTAGTATCTAATCTAACCTGCCCTCTATCATCTTACTTCTCCATGTCCTATTACTACATGTGCTTGTAAACAGTCTCTGTTCTTTCTTTTAAGTCCTGTTCAAGTACTGGAAGGTCCTATAGTGTTTCCCTGGAGCCTTCTCCAGGCTGAGCAACATCAACACCCCTCCCCTGTTTTTATAGTAGAGGTATTCCAGCTCTCCAATCATCTTTGTGGTTCTCCTCTAGACTTACTTGAGCAAGTTCACATCCTTCTTATGTTGGGGACCCCAGAGCTGGAGGCAGCACTCAAGGTGGGGTCTCACCAGAGCAGAGTGGAGGGGCATAATCACCTACCTTGACCTACCTGCTGGCCATGCTGCATTTGATGCAGGTGTTACAATTGGCTTTCTGGACTGAAAGTGCATGGTCCAACTTTTCAAGTTGTGTCTCAGTCAGCCTGTATTGATACTGGGGGCTACCCTGACCCTTTTGAAAAAATAATAGAAACATTCCTTGATCCCTGTGAATTGAAGAAACTAGCGTTCTATTGTAATAGATGCTTTTTAGTTTCCTGCTATGTCAACTTAACAATTCAATTTTTATCCTGTTCTACCTCATTTTATGCCAATGCAACTCAACACACATTAAGAGATGCTTCTTTTCTTGTTACACAGCTTTACTTGTTAATGCTGCAATGGAAAGCTTTAACAGTAGATTTTAATCAGTGGCAAACAAGAAATCCTGAATGTAAGTAACTGTTTCCTTGTAAAGAATGCTTTTATAATCTGCAAAGTTTTTTTCATCTAGGCCATGAGTATATTTATGTCTGCTGATTGTATTTTCGTTCCATAACTACTTAAAAATTAAAATAATGGTACTTTAAAAAGTAGCGTGTATGTTTAATTTCTTCATTATTTTTGCACTTCAGTTCTAAGTCAACTTGAAATTAAAAATGAATTCCACTATAATTTGATCCTATGATTCTGGACAAATAAGTGCATGATTCATGCCGTTATTCATCAGTCAGTTAAATGGAAAAACAACTATTAGCAGATCTCTTAACCAAATAAGACAAGTTCATTATCCTGTTACCCTCCTTCATATTCTTTTCTGTGTGATTGTTTTTTTGCTGACTTTCATTTGTATTTCATTTTTAGAACTGAAATACTTTGGTAAATAATATTGTCTTCATTTTGTCTTTTAAGAAGCTGATACATTAATCATACATCTTCTGATTATTTTTCTGATTAAAGGTGTGTAGTATTACAATATGATAGTTGAAACTTTGAAATAGACCTTTAGTGCTAAGCCCTCTACACTGTAGTAAAATACCAATTTTGAATTAACAGGGATTGGAGATTTCAAGTCAATATAGAGTGGTAAGAGACACTAGAATTTTTAAACAACACAGGAATCCAGAATACTTACTGATGCTGAGAAGCACAAACCACTGAGTCTAGTGGTAGTTCTTATAATTGTTAGGCATTATTAGTCAAAACTCAATTCCTCAGTTCTTCAAAATTCTCTTTGTACATAAGCACCACTCCTGGTGGATTTCACCCTCCTGCAAGGCTGATGTGGCCAGACACTGGAAATAAAAGCATTCAGGATCTAAGTAGTAAAGTATTCTTAGTTTTCAGATGTCCCATATGGACATTCCTAAAACAGTTCACACTACACTATCATTCAGGTAGTATGCATGGTTATGTCTCCCGTCAAGGACCTGTTTACACCTGTCAATCCCAAAAAACTAGTTAATCTTTAAATTAATATATTGACTCATTTGAATATTTTTATGCCAGTAGAGGCTTGGCTTTGTAGTATTTGCAAAATTATAGGAGTGTTATAGACAGCATGTGGTGATTTCCAATGTTTTGTTATTTGGCCAAATGGAAATGCCTTTCCAAATCAACATTACAGGCAGTTCTCCAACTTTTTTTCAAAGTCTGTATTTGCTACAACTCATAAGAGAAGCTGGGATTTTTTTTTTATTATTATTAAATAGATTCTGTTGTTGTATTAGATAGAGTATTTTCATAGTTCAGTGTTGTTAGCTTCACTCCAAGAACTGTCAGCCTCCAGTGCTTCTGAGGTATGTAGACCAAAGGCATGTCATTGAATGAATTTGGAATATACTGGTTCCTGGCTGCTGTTCATGAATAAGTTGCTGGCTTAAAGCAAATTAATTGAAAGAACTTAGTTTTTATCTGGGTAAAATACCTGAGGCTGTTAGATTTCCGTACTAAAATATGTATATTAAACTTCAAGCTATTGGCTTAAAAATATCCTTGGCCTATTTTTTTGGCTTGCTGACTTGCTTTGTTCAACCATTCTTACTTCTTCCCAGATGATAATATTTCTTATTAGAAATCTAGAGAATTATCCATAATTAATATGTTACAACCAAATTTTTGCCTTTTTTGGCTCCCTTTCCAGTGGAAGAAAAATGTTCCTGCTAAGAATTCAAATAGAGTTATGGTACTTGTATGAAAATGAGGCGTCCTCTTTGCTTACTTCTCTGTCTTGGCTTCTTTCTACCTACTGTTTGTTCTGAAGGAGGAATTACTTAATTGAAAACATTGTCTGATTTTATCTAAATAGAAATAGCAGAAGTACTGATTTAATATAATTTACTAATAGAGCATGAATGTCAGGCTGTCTAGTTACTTTGGTTTTGGCTTTTAGTAGTGGCCAGTTCATTTCCTGTAAATGAGGACCTGTCAGCATTTCAATCTTAAACCTTATTTTCAGAGGTTATAGCTTGGCAGTTCTACATTTTTTTGAGCACAGTACTGGCAAACATACTTGAATTCACAATGCAAATTTTATTTTTGCAAAGCTTAAACTTTAGTGTCTTTTTGTTTCTTAATTTATGGTATTATTTATGTAGCTCAAGATCTGCTAAATCAGCTGAATTGCAACTTCAAAAAAGCTTTGGTATATAAAAATAAAATTTAACTTTTACCTTTGCAAAATCAGGAAGTGAAAGCAACCATATTTTAAACCATTTCAAACAGTTGTGGTCTCTGCATAATTTCTGTTTTTCTTTGCAAAATAGCAGTATTGTGCCAAATACCTTTTTGTTTTATTTTAATATGAACTTCTGTATAAACATGTGCATAGTAGTTGCTTTTACGTTCCTAGCATCTGGTAGTATTTTTCTTAGTAATTGTACTTTGTATCACTAGGCAATTCTCTCTGACATTTGATTTTTGCAAGTGTAGTGATTCAACAAAACTGGAAAAGATTGAATTGATTGTGGATTGAGCAAGCAGTGAATTTACAGCAGCAGCTGGCATAAGTGTGTTGTCCCAGTGTTTTAGATCTGCATTGTTCCTTCACTAAATTATGGCTAGTGATTTCTTTCCCATGAGCACAGGGCCTTCTATTCTGATACTCACACAGCATAAACAACAAGCATGAACTCAGGATTAGGTATCTAGAAATAAAGAAGTGTTATGAGGCAGTTGTAAAAATTGATAATAATTGGTAAGGGAAGGCTTATAAAGATCATGTCAGCAGGAGATGGCAGAGGGAAGAATTGTATGGGTTTTTCTTCAAATATGCCAGTGAATGTGAACAAAAGTGCACCAATGAATTTTAGCACATGTAGGTATATTAATGTGAATAAAGAAATCCTACTCTAATAAAGCACAGACTGCTATCTTCTGCAGCTCTTAAACTTAATTGGGAGCAGAGTACTCAAATTTTGCATCAAGATTTAGAAACAGTAATTTTCCAATTAAAAGGAGTTTTATTGAAACATTTAATTTAATGCATTCTTGATGCATCAGTAGGTTTTCCGATTTTCATCTCAGAACAAACAGCTCTTTTAAAACTACTAATCTAAAGCTTCTTAAAATTTTTGAGGTAAGTACTATAACATTAGCAAAGAAAGTACTTTTCTGAATTTATTTAATAGATGGTTTTTATTTAGGTGATGTTTATTGCTGTCATGAGAGGGTTAAGGATTTCCTTTTTGATTAAGGAATTTTTAATTTAAGTCATTATTTGTAAGATTAGAGATTTCAAGCCCAAACTTGCACAAAAAATCTTTCTTATAAAGATTTTAATCTGTTAGAATAGCTTTCATTTCTCCTGTTAATGTATTGAAATAGGTCAAAAAAGTCATAGGTTTATGCAGAAGCTGCAAGTTGACATGGATCTGAGAATTGGCTAGAGTTTGTTGAATGCTGTAAAAAACAAGAATTCTGGTTTTGTTCTGAAAATGCATGAGTCATAAATCACTGCATTTTGTAGAAGCATTCTGGAGAAAAATTTCTTCTTGAATTGTACTTTGGTTTTCTTAGGTATTGCTATTGCTCAGTGTTTGAGTTAGGATATTGGCTTTGCTGGGCCATTCATCTCCCTACTGTTCTTGTGAACAGTAAGGATGGTGACGTGCTTCTGAAGTTATTAAAACTAGGTTACATAGTCCTGATCAAGCATTTAGGAGGCTATTTAGCAAGGGATCGGAGGACTGGAAGAATTTTTTTTATTGCCCACACTGGTAATGTTGATTGCCTTCTGCTGAAAAAATCAGGCTTGGTTGTCTTGCAGTGTATAGAAATGTGCTGTTTATTCATTATGCAACTGCACCAATGTACTTGGAGCTAGTTCAAGTATAAAAATAACACACAAGCATTAACAGTGCACTTTTTTCAGTCTGATTTAATTTACTGAATCGTGATAGTAGGTTAGCCCAGCAGGACACCACAGCATATGATTAAACTGCTACTGAGAACCAAACTGTTATTCAGAAGCTACACAAATTTCTCTCTAGCCAAGCTGCTTTTTAGAATAAATAAATCTTTATTGTCCAGTGAAAAAATAAACGATTCATTTTATTTTTCAGTAATTTCTACCAATCCAGATGTACTGTTAGAATTAGGAAAAGAAGAGGTAAGTCTAATAAAAATTCTGGGGAAAAAAAAAGAAAAATAATATATGCAATTGCTGCATTTTCATCTGATTGTTCCTAGGGTGGATTACTGCTAAAATGCTGTGTATTTTCCTTCAGCCGTTTATGTTTTTCTAATGCTTTTTTTCCCCCCCTCTAGTGTAATTAGTAGAATTTCCTAGTTGTAATTAGTGAGGTTTTAAACTGACTTATTGCACAAGTCACTGAGTAATGCACAATAAACAGTATTTTGCCTCTGGACACACCATCTAATCACAGTAGCTCAACAAACTTATCTGCATGCAATGAAAATGATGTGATAATTGACACCCCTACACCCCTGCTACATTAATGCTGCAAGGCCTCACTTAGGATTAGAGTCCCATTGTGCTGGGTGCCACCAGGAGACAGAAATCTCATGCCAAGGAGACTGATTACCATGTCTTGCAAAGATTTAGCCATCATCTTTAACATTATGCAGCAGGGTGCATTTCTGGGGCTGAAGCCTACACACTACTTTTCAAGATTACTTTCATTTAACAATGTGCAAGTGCTTGGGCAAGTAGATCCACTCCGAATTGTGTTTTCAAAATGATCTATGGCTGAATTTTAATTGCTAAGTGGAATTTGTCACAGAATGGCTGAAGTTAGAAAGGACCTCTGGAGATAGAATCATAGGATAGTTTAGGTTGGAAAAGACCGCTAAGATGATTGAGTCCAACCATCCAAATCCACCACTAAACCCTGCCCCTAAGTGCATCACAGGATTGTGTCAAGATGGCTTTTTGAATATCTTTGAAAAAGGACAAGCCACAGCCTCTTGGGGCAGCCTGTTCCAGCGCTCAGTCACCCTCTAGTAAAGCAGTTTTTCCTAATTTTCAGGTGGAAATTCCTGTGTTTGAGTTTGTGCCTCTTGCTCCTTGTCCTATCGCTTTGCACCACGGAGAAGAGTCTGACCCTATACTCTGACACCTGCCTTTAAGATATTTGTGTGTGCTTTTTTAAACAAAATGTTATATTTCATTTCATATTTAATAGAAAATTATGTAATATTATATGTTACACTGAAGAGCCAGTTACCTTAGCTATTGAATTCTGTGGCAATAATTTGCAAATAGTTTGTTGAGTACCGCGCTCTCGCCCCAAGTCCCAGTTCTCAGTCCCTTTCTGCCCTGGCTAGCTCTCCAATGGGGTGAGAGGGGCAGATGAAGCACCCTCCGCTGAGCCCAGTGGGGCTTTGGAGAGTGCTTGGTGGGTCTGACAGGCGCAGCTGAATCCCACGGGTGACAGAGAAGAGAGTCTCTTGTTGGGGGCTGAATCCAAAGTTTATTGTAGCCCAGCAGGGCCCAACAACATCTGAATAATGCCAGCTAATAAGAGCACCTGCAAGGTGCTTGCAACATCTTATATACTAGGAGGGAGGGGAATCAGTCAGCCAATGGGAGTTTAATGGGGAGTGGCTCTTGTATGGGCGGACACATATGGGAACCAATGAGGGATGGATATGGGAGGGGCCCCAGGCTCCTGCCCAATCACCTGGCACCTAGGATGGAAGCTTCTGGATGTATGGGAAGGGATACCGAGTGACTGACAGGGCACCTGGGAGGGGACAAGGGAATGATTCGGCACTTGGGTAAGGTGGGGAAACTAGGGACAAACCAAGTTGAATATGGGAGGCACATAGGAACAAACCATTACATTGCAAAATTATAATAAAACATGCAATAACACAACTCCACAGTTGAGTTCCTCCATTGGAGGAAATAGCAAATCAGTGATGTCTTGCTGGTAACATTTTACTATATTGATGGGACATAGGAATGCTATGCGACTTGAGAATATTCCTGTGTCTAATGCCTTCTAGTATCACTCACAACAGCAAACCTGACTGCTGTTAAGAGTCACTATCAAAAAGTTGTTAGGTTACACACTTTGATTGACATGTTAGTCTGATATTTGAGGATTACAGCTTTCTTTTCAGATGTTGTGTATATATGGAGCATACTTGTTTCTGTAGCGTATTTTCAGAATGTGTATTTCTTTGAGCTAACTTCTTAAGTGCTCCTATTTTGTATGGAAGCAATAAAAATACATCTAAATCACAGGCTTATATAATGATTTTGTAGAAGACCATAGTGCTCTAACAGGAAACCTCATAAATTTATACAAGTATCTGAAGAGAATGGAGCCAGGCTCTTCTCGTTGATGGCAAGCAATTGGACAAGAGGCAATGGGATGCACAAGAACACAAGGAAGAGCTTCTTTACTGTGCCCAGAATTTGCCCAGAGAGGTTGTGTAGTCTCCCTTGCTGGAGTTTGTCAAGAACTGTCTGGATGCAACCAGAACCATGTGCTCTTGGATAATCCCTGCCTGAGTAGGGAGGTTGGACCACATAACTCACTGTGGCCTGTCACAATGGTTAAGGAAACTTTGTCCATGGTGTCAGTCACTAAACCCATTTGCAGCTACACATCCCACTCACACAGATCAGATGTCCTTACCAGCTCAATCCTAGGTTTCCGTCTTCCCTTAGGCTCACACATCCTGATCCATAAAATAATTTAATCATGGCATAATAATAGACTAATAGCTTGAGGTGAGTGCCTTTGGGGAGGGACCCAGAACAAATGAATTTTATACCCTCAAAGACAAAAGGCTTTTGTACCCTCACAGTGTAAACGCAGGCATCATCAGCTGCTGCCATGTCTCAGTGTCCCCTCGCCTGGCAGGGTCACAGATCCCCAGGCCCCCTGTTCTACAAAGAGTTGGCAGTTCATGGCCTCTTGCCTGGGGCTCTTGCCCGAGTTCAACCCAGAGCTCAACCTGTAGCTCTGCTGCAGCTGCACCCTGAGCTACCTGCACTGAATGTGTTCCTCAACACAACCTTACCCATTCTGTGATGCTATAGTGAAAGACCCAGCCCACTGAGAATCCACTACTCCCTAGATTCAGTAATGCCTATAGCTTCTGACTGCAGTAGTTTTATTTCTTCATATTTCCTGTCCCAGATATTCATAATACTGAAGATCATTTAATTCATGGATGCAGTTAGTATTTCTTTGACCCATCTTCATTTTCAGTATATCTTACGTGGGTGCAAGTAGCATGGATTCCGTCTTGCCAGCAGCTGCAATAGTTTAGATCATAGAGCCCTGATGCTGTAGTCATTTTCTCCTCATCCATTCATCAGCTGAGCAGTTCATGTGTGTACTTCAGGTAAAATTAAATATTTTGTTAAGCTCTGTGAGCTTCAAGAGGACACTGATGAGCAACTGACAGTAAGGTAACAGTGAGGTAACAGTGACATTTTGAATAGCTCCTGCATTTTAAACTAGATTTTAATGTTTATTAAGAAATTGCAGATGATTTTGTCCCTCTTTATCAGATTTACAGATGTAGCCTTACATAGAACAAATACTACAGCCTGGGGTACCTACAAACAATAGTTTAATTTCTATTATTTTATAGTTGCAGAAAGTGAAAAATGATCTTGAAACGATGCTGTCAACAGTTCAGTCAAAGAATAAACATCTGGAAGAAGATCTGAAAAGGTAATACAATGATTGGGACTTTGGAATGCTGTAAGCTTTTTTCTTTTTTGACTGCCCAGGAAACTATTTATCTGTTGTGCCATTTCCTACCTTTCATGTTTCAAAGAGAACAGCAGTGGTATGAGGAACAGAAACAGATGCTAGAGACTCTTAATAAAATCGAAGAAGAGGTAAATACCCAAGATGAACATCCTTCCACAAAAAGGTATTTCTACATTTTTGAAATGTATTTCATATTTGAAACATGAACATCCTAACATATATCCTGTGATTAAAGATGTTTAATTTCTAACAATAGATAATACAGGATTTTTTACTTAGAAGGGACTTTTTAGTTACCTGATTTGATCCCTTGTTCTGTTGCTGTTTTTACTGTTCATTTGAAAATTAGAGAACTCAATGAATTGGAAACCAAAGTATTGAAATTAAAGACCTTTAGGAAAGAACTCTTGACTGCCTTGGGTGGATTCCTGGATGAATATTTTCCCCTTCCAGAGAGAAGTGAAAATATTAAAAAAAAGGTAAGACTTTTCTTTACCTATTAAATTTTAAATGTCCAATTTCTACTTAATTAGATGCAATATCTGTTTCAAGTCACTAGCATTGAACCTGCAGTTGTATTTTGAAATAAGCATAGTTTATACAGCTGATCCTCTAGGCTTATATTTTTATATAATATAAATATATATATATAATATATATAATTATATATATATATTATATATATAATATATATATTATATATATTATATATAATATATATATAATTATATATATATTTATATATATATATAATATATATACAGTATATATTTATATATTTATATTTCTCAGGTTGTTTTATATTATTTAAGGCTGATTCCAGCTGGATATTTTCTTTTTTTAATGTATATATCCTTTATCCAATGAGATGCATAGCAATATATTGTATTTCTTACTGAACTGCAAGCTTTGCCAAATTTGGAAACAGTGTGGGGTTCAGTCCAAATTTTTTTTTTTTTTTTTACTTGACTGGGCAATTAGATCCCTATTTTACTTGGCAAAGCAAATTTTAATTGTTTAACAATGTTTTTGGAACAATAAGGAAAAGTGTTTATAATTACAGAGTAGTTTGGAATGTTAACCATTAGGCAAACTGGGTCAAAAACTATCGTAAGACCTCAGGGAGAATAGGCAGCCAGGGAGTATTTTGCATAATAAATTCATAGTGTGCAGTAAAAATAAAACTATTACCATCACTATTTGATAGATACAGAAAAAGCTATGAAAAAAGGCAGGTTTTGATTTTGCTTTCAGGCACACAATATTACAGAAGTAGAAATTATTTCTTTAATCCAGTTCCCTGTTATTTCAGGTAACCACATAATGTAATTTCCTCAGTATTACCATTGAGCTCCATTTTAGCACAAATAATTTTTTTACTGCTGTTTTTCCTGTGTTTTTTCTTCTAGTATCTTAGTACTCTGGTTAGAAACTGTCTCACAGCTCCCAGTCTAAATTTATCCAAGTCTAACACAGATCCACTCGTATTCTTACACCAGAATTTTCCCTAGAATAGCTCCTTTTCTTTCTTGTGTTTATTCTTCCTGATATATTTATGGCAACAGTCTCATATCCTCTCTTTGTTTTGTTAATTGAACTAGCAACACCTTTATGTTCTCCTGTAAGACATATTTTTCAATTTCCTAGCTTACTCTTGTAATAACCATTGTCTATGTTTGTTTTCATTTGTTTTTTACAACCTGTTAAGAAACGATATTATAAATAAAACTACTAGCTCACACCCACCACCAAGGCACCAAATTTTACACCCTTGTCTTTTTCTGTCTATAATTTGCAGCTAATGAATCCTGATCTTTTAATTTAAAAAAAAAAAAATCTGTTTTCCACATAAGCACATATTTTGCACATAAAAATACCAAGTGGAGATGTCAAGACATGGTGTTAATTTTCAAAGTATTATTCAAATATCTTATTTTGTTGACTCTTAGTTTTTCTGCAAACCAATGCTTTCCTTTCCTGTTGTTAGTAAATATGACAGATTTTGTTCCAAGTCTCTCCATTTTAGAAACAGTCTCATGTGGAACAGTATCAAATGCTTTGCACAAGTCCAGTTAGATAGCATCAGTTTTCTTCCTTTTCCACAAATACTGTAACTCTTGTAGAAGGCCACTAAATTTGTTGGATGTAAATGGTCTATAGTGAACCCATGTTGGCCATCACCAATCACTTTACTTAAACAAAAAAACTACTTTGATTAATTTCAACACAAGTTTTATCTTTTCCTTAGCTTAAATTTTATTTATACATTTTCTGAACTCTTAAACATACAGGTTTCTGACAGTTTTTTTTCTTTCTTTTCACTCTTTATGAATTACTAGCTTTTCTATATCTTTTGATTCACTTGGATCACTTGACTTAACAACAGGTACCCCTTAATCTGCATCTAAGTAATTGTGAAGGCAGGACAGCCGGCCATTTTTGCCTACATTTATTGTCAGAAATACAAATTGTAATCACTGGCAATAAAATTAGCTGCTATATTAGTTCAGGAGAACACATTATTCACTTGTATTATCAGTTTGGTTCAACAGTCTAGCAGCACCAAACTCTTAACTCTGCACATCAGTCATTTTGCTTCACTTTGTTGAAGTGTGTTGTGTTCACAATGGTTCCACATAAAGGGCATCTGTGCAGGGTTGATGTCTGTGGGACATGGCTGCAGCATAATTTGAACTGCTCCAAACCTTGCTCGTCTGGTTCCATCCTTCTTTCACCTAGTGACATGCATGTGGGATTGGGAGTGGGAGTGAAGACTGCATGATAGAAGCTCAGATTGGCTTCTGTTGCCATGGCCCACCACCTTTAATATAGGTAGACTGTAGTAATGATGATCTTGCATTTTAAATCTAAGGTAAAAATCTACTTTATTTTATTCAAGATAATAATATGAAAAATTAGAGGCTGAGGAATATTCTTTATGCAAATCTGTCTGATTGGAATGGTAAAGAAGGTGCCTTTCAGGCTAAATAATAAAATGCTGAGCATCCTACTTAATGACTTTATAAGCATTAAGTGATTAGTGGTACTTAATTGTATTAGTAGTAATTTTGACAGTGAAATATATCAGCAGAGGTTATTAAATACCTTCGTGTTTGCTCTAGGGAGCTTTTAGCAGATAGGTAATGTAGATTCTATTGCCTCAGCCAAATATCAAGATGAATGCAGATAGATAGATGTTATTGAGTCATAGCTCCAGGATTTGCAGAGCTTCCATGGAGCAGGCTCTCCCTGGAAACTGAAACTTCAGACTCTCTGCAGGTGTGAGTCTATTACAAACTGTGACTGGGAAAAAGGATCCAGAACTCGCCTTTCAGAATATTCTTCTTTCTTGTTTGTATTCTTCCTCTGGTCCAGAAGTGGAATTTGTATAAGGTGCTGCACAACTGGTAATATCCTAGGTCTTAAACTCATATATTCAGCAGCAATGCTGAGAAAGCCAGTGGAATATTATTTCCTTTATTTTGTTGAAACTGAAGTGCATGGAGAAAAAGAATAAAACAGGAAAATTAAAGAATCTGGTTTACCATGCGACAGTACAGGCAGATCCAGTGACATTGCTGCCAAAGGAATCTCTATAGACAAATGGCTTGATTTGCTTGCTGCAAAGGAAAATAATCTTCTAGTGATATTTTATCATTGCCTTTTTATTCCACCAAAATTTTTAGTTACTCTATTTCTTAACCTTGATAAAATAAATGTTTTAGTTGAATTCAAAACAAGTAAATATTCACTATCAAGTCATGAAAAAATATTAAGATACTATGAAATTAAGTCTTGGGTTGTGTCAAATTTGTATTACAAACACTTATTTAAAACTCATGAAAAATATTTTTTCCTCTTAACAAATCTTGTTCACAGAAGGTTCTGTACAACATTATAAATATGATGTACTTGTAAACACAAGTGAAAACATGATCACTTTAGATTAATCGCTCTTGACAATTCAAAAAATGTTACATTTGAAGTGTAGGGTTTTGAACTGGTAGATTTAAATGCAACCTGTATTTCTGTTGGGACTAAATCTGACTAAAAGTTTTCATCTATTGTGTACTATGCAATCGAATAATTGTGTAATTATTTTATTTTGTCAGTTAATATTTTTTCTGACTGGTTTGGGGTTTTGTCAATTTGGCTGGTGAATGTTTATCTTTCCAGAACTCTTCAGCAGAGCCAGTTGTAGAACTGATAACATTGCAAGAAATTTTAGAGGTAAGACGTTTTTACTATGTAGAGATTTGAGGAATTTTTAAATATTCAGATGTAATGATGGTGATGATGATGATAAAGTGTTTATTGCTAATATAAGTAATGGTATGTGGTATTTAGTTAAGACAGTTAATCTGGAATGATTAAGAATGTTGTGTCTACAAGAAGAGTGCAAGGAGCATTGCAGCCTTCTGGTACTAAAAGGGGGCTTATAAAAAGACAGAGAACAACTTTTTGCATGGGGGAATAGTTTTAAATTACAGGAATAGATATTTCAATTAGCTGTCAAGAATAAATTCTTTACTGTGAGGGTGGTGAGGCACTGGAACAGGCTGTCCAGAAAAGCTGTGGATGCTCCATCCCTGGCAGTGTTCACAGCCAGGCTGGATAGGGCTTTGAGCAACCTGGTCTAGTGGAAGGTGCACCTGCCCATGGCAGGGGCTTGGAATGAGATGATCTTTAAGGTACGTTCCAACCCAAGCCATTCTATGAATCTAGGTCAATTTTCTATTTTAATTCCTATGAAAGTAACCCCCAAATTTTTACAAGAGGTGTGGCAATACTGTTCAGTTTAGGCTGGAGAATGGCTGTCTCTTATTTCTTGATTTTACAATGTTTAGTTCAAAGAAGTTATATGTGCCTTAGTGGCTCATGTTGGGAGAGACAAATAACTTTGTTCAACAAAAAAAATGGTCCATTTCATGCTTTATTTTATATTGTTTCAAGAAAAATATTTCTGAAATATACATTAACAGAAGGACTAATTACCATGTAGCCTCAGGAGGGCCAATAGTCTTGTGCATTAACTGGATTATTAACTCATACAAGGAAATCAGTTCATCCAATTCATGCATTTCTGATTTATTTTATAAGTATAGAAGCATTGCTTAGTGTGAATTTTTAATTGCAGTGCAATTTATGAATGTGAATTGCAAAGCATAATTTTCCTTCTTGTCTGAAATGTAGCATTTGAAGGGAAATTTTCTGTTCCCCCTCCTTAGACAGTTCTAGACTTCTATATGCAAGATATCCTTGGGGAATTTTTTTTTCTTGAGGCAAAATGTGATGTATAAAAACTTTCTGGTATTAAGATGCTATTATCTAATCACTGTGACACTGTACTATAGTTTAAAGCCAGGCTTTGGGTTCATATCATCAAAATAATTTTACATGTTTCAAATATCTCAGCATACCTGTTAATGCCAAATTAGGCAGAGCTTGAAAACAGATCAGAATTCAGAGTAGCCACACCCTTTATGGAAAAAGAATTTTGAAGTTCTTCTAATGCTTTAAAATTGCCCTTCATATTTTTCTGCTATTGTTAATCTTCTGAAAATGTGAATGTATTCAAGTAATGTCTGACTTCTGTTTGGAAGAACACACTATTTGAAAAATTCAGACTCATTTTGAATTTCAACATCCTGACCTAAAGTGTCAATGTTCCTTATCTTTGTATTTTGGAAGGTTTTCCTTTGTTGAGTCATATTGTTCTAGCTTCAAGTCCCTGTTAAATTTGAAAAATGTTTTCTGAGATACAGATAAAGTTACAGCCATGAAGGCTATTTTTGAGTATCAGATGTCAGGAAAAACTAAGTAAAAGTTTTTCTAGAATAATGCATTTGGAGTAAGTTCTCATAATTGGAAGTACAAAACCTATTAACTGGAACAATTCTTCTTCAGAGTGTTCTGAAAAAGAAGAACAGTTGTTCATTTGGGTCTTTTAGTAGTCGTGGGTCTTTTATTAGGATGCAAAAGTATAAAAACTGGTAGCAAGGATTTTGAATTTGTCTTTAGCACTAACGGGCAAAAAATATTTTGTACTTACTGAAATTGGGATAGTATAACATTTAAAAGCTCTGAGTAGAAAGATGAAATATCTAGGATAAATAGAAAGAGCATCGTGGGATAGGTAAGATTATTTAGTCTGTAATGTATGCAGTACTCCCCATAAGCAATATTGTGAGGGCATGTACATGATCTCCATTAATTGAAAAAGAATGACAAAACTGATTTTGTTTTTAACTCCATTAACTAATTCTGTATTTGATGCAGCATTTAATCTACATTTATTTTGGAATAAAAGAGGATTCTGTTTCTAATTTTTACGTCAAAAAATGTGTTGTGTAGCTAATTGGAAGTCCTTTGCTTTACTTCTACTTTGAACAGGTCTCATGTTTCTTTTGTAGTCCTTTGTATCTTATATTGCCTACATCACAGTAGTTTGTAAAAATTTGGTTCAAGGAGATAAAATCTAGCTGTTTTGTTAATTTCCTAAATTCTATACTTTTGGTCTTCCAGATGCTGATAAACACATTAATGGCCACACCACATGAACCTTACATAACAATCAATGAGTCATTTTGGCCACCTTACATTGAGCTGCTGCTGCGATGTGGAATGGCCCTGAGACATCCAGAAGATCCAAACAGAATGCGCCTCCAAGCTTTTCACAAGTAGTGTGACCTACACATTCACTTGAAAACAAAACAACACCAGTACTCTTAATTCAGGGCCAGGACATATTTAGGTTTCCTACTAAGCTTTCTAAGTATCAAGAATTGCGTCTTGTTGGATGATTTTTTTTCTTTTAAATTAAATTGGATATTTAAGATCATAAAATGTAGAAAACGAAAAAAACCTCTATACCTCTATTTTAACTGCTTACAGTTGGCTTTCAGTTTTATACCAAGATTTGCATTATGGAAGGCTTTTTTCAGTGCTTTTGTAAGATGCCAATTAATGTAATAGACAAATATGTTTAACAGTCCTTTTTACTTTAAATTCATACTTTATACATTACTTCTTAGATTGCCTGACATCTCTATTTCCTTTAGTATTTTCTTGTATTCTGTAGAGACAAAATTCAGAATAACAGCACTGCTCCTGTACATGGCCTTGCAAACATTTGGAACTAGCAGAGAGGTATCCTCTCAAGAATGCCTTGCTTGTTTCTCAGAGCCCTTGCAAACAATTTTACTGGCTCCAAGATAAACACATAGGAAAGCTGATACATCTTTCTGTGCAAGGTGCACAGATGTTGAGTCTGCACCTTTCACTGCACGCTTCCCAAATGGCCCACTTTGTGTTACACTATATTGCCTTACAGTATCTGTCTTCACTTTTTCAGACCTAGTTTATCAAGGCTTTTAATGGGGCTCTACAGCTTCTAAGTTATGTCAGTTGAGAGACTGAGAGACTTCTGACTCAATGCTGGTATTCTTTGCAATCTCAGTCTTTTATGTAGCCATATTTATAGTATTGTACTGAGTACAAAAATTCTGCTCTTGCTTATCTGTAGTGACTAAATTATCCTTTGTTAACCAGATTTTAGTTTATTGAGGGAGGAACTTGGATGATTTTTCAGTTTGATGGAAAAGTAGAGTTGTATACACTCACAGAATGTTTTTATGTGATGGTTTTTGGAATGGTGTTTCTGTGATTTGGTGTGATGACTTTTAAATATCATGTAAGGATGCATGGGAGAAGTAAGGGGGACCAATCTAATATAATTGCCAATCCAGTGTAATTGCCCTTTTTAAACCAATTAAATGTTAAGCAAAAAATCTTTCATCTTGTGTAGTTTTGAGTGAATGCTGTTCATTTTACCCTCCCAACTGGTGTTTAAGTATGAGTATAGGATGTGGTGTGTGCTGTTGTACATGAACATTGACTTCTTTTTGGCTCATATTGCTTGTGTAGCTGCCCTCCTGTTGTGATTTAACCTCTTCTATGAATTCTAGAGTCTGACTAATCTATACACATTTATCTTACAGTATTTTTAATTAAGAATTAGAATAACTACATTTTTTGGCTTAGATTTATAGGATTGTCTCTTTAGGGTTTTTTCCTTCATTTGTGTTTAAATGCTTTGTATTCTGCTATCCTTTCAACTTGTTTATTAATATTGCTTAAATATTTTATTGATGCTGGATGACTGCTTCTCTCATGACATTAATAAATGAAAGGAAAAATGTTAAACATTCAGTAGTCTCTTGTGTTTAAAAAGAAGAAAAATACCAACCTATACCACCCACCTCCAAATCCAAACCCAAACCAAAGCACTGCAATAGGATAGTCTATAAAAAAATGCTCTAAAGAAGATGCAATATTCATTATTCTTTATATCAAAATCAAATCTCATCCAAATGAAATACTAGAATAGAGTTAAATGAAAGTGCTTCACATAAAGCTTTACTTTAAATTACGAAACTCGCTGCCATGAAATATGTTGTAAGATTACATATGAACATGCAAAAAAGCCTCAAGGAATTCAGATTTATAATTATTAGAGAAAATTGGCAGTCAGTAGGTTCAGAAATCTCTATCCTACTAATTGTTGAACCCTGAGGAGATACACATAGATATTCCTTGAGATCCTCCTGCAGCTCCACAGTATCTTCATAATTCTCTGAAGCCTTTCTGCTTAGGCCCTGGATATGCTCAGAACCCAAAGGTTCAGTGTAGAGCTTTTTCCTCAGGCGGGATTGAATCAGTACAGCAGAAGAAAACCTGTAGAAAGAGATAATCCAACCCTAAAATTCATTGCCAGTTTTTAAGAGAAGCTGGTTTAGACTGAAACAGAGCTAGCCGAAAGCTGTAGCTTCTAGAAAAATCCTGACAAGTAAATTGAAGTAAAGCAAGGCAGTGATGAAGAACAGATCTTCCTTATGAAAAAAAGCTAGGAGCAAGCTCTTTCATCAGTACTTTCAACAATCAGGAACATTGGGCCATATGTAGAAAGAGTAGGATAATTTCTTCTTTTTTTCCTCTCTGTGCGTGTCTAAATAACAGTTGTTTGTTTGGAATTTATACCTCTATTAAATGCTAATATTGTGACTCCATGTGCATTCCATGAAATAAGGATTTGTTTAGCTTACCATCAATTTTTAACTCTACAAAGGTATTAAAAAAAACCCAAAAAACCCAAAAAAACTAGGATGTTAAATGAACATTTGGAGCTACCAAGCCTGAGTAAGATGAAAAATTGATGTATGAGCTGGCAGTGTGTCCCTGTGGCCAAGAAGGCCAGTCATATCCCAGGTGCAAGTAGGAAGATCAATGCCAGTCTGCCTGTGCCTTTGCTTCTTTCCCTTAGTTGACCAGCTGTTCCCTATTCAGCCATGCCTATCTAGAGAGAATCAGGTAATCCTATTATCAGTGTGTTATAACCCATGCAGGTCAAGACAAATGTCATGGTAACAACCTGCAAAAGGACAGATGTCTTTGATTTCAGTCATTGCTCAGTATGGAAGTATTGTAATTAGCTGGGTCTCTTTGATTAGGCCTATATCTCTGGAATATTGGCACTGCTTAAAACTTCTCACAGTGCTGCCGCTGCACCAGATAAGTAGGCAGCTTCTCCATCTAATACATGCAATATTCTCCTGTTATGGAGCTGATAGTTTTAGTATGGTTAAGAATAAGATACCAGTCACAACTGTGTCACCAGCCAGGGTATAAGCAGTCACCTGCTGAATCATAGGCTAAACCTTGGGGACTGGTGCTTTCTTCTGTGACTGTTTCAGTAGAAAATCTCACCCCACAGGAGCCTTACTTGCCATTCAGATTTGCTGTGGTCTAGACATTAGACTGGCATTTATATCAAGAGGAAAAAAATTACTCATTATACAGTAATGATTCTTCTGGAATGTGTATGCCGTATAGAGCCCTGAGCTCTTCTTGCTTTTTGGAATACATCAGTACAGCAAACCTCTTATTGCGAGGAAATTGATCTAGCAATAGGAAGACCTTCTTGCATGTAGTATTATGAGGTTAAGGAAGCTCAGACCACACCTGTCTTCACAAACTGTGCAAAGGGCTGTTAGGACAAACTTACTGATGTGATTTCCTAGTGAAATAATTAAATTGTTCTGCAGATTTTCAATTTTTGATTGTGGCATTAAATGCAACTGCTATATTTATCTGCATTTTCCTGCATTGAAAAATAATCTGATTTTGAGATTTTGGCATAAAAGTTTCTGGATGTAAAGTTTTGGCAGAAATATATATGAGATTTGTTTGTGGTTTGAGAGAGTGTAGGTGATACTAATGAAGAGTGCTGTAGCTAGTTACAGATATATAACCTTGGAAAAGTAAGTTATATTGAATTCTTGAATGTTCATTAGTATTTTGGTAAAATTACATTATTTTTTCCGTATCTTATATTGTATTTGAAGCTTTTTTTTAAAAAAGAAAAGTCTTATGAAAGCATGTGATAGCAGTCTTATGCCTGTTTGAATCTTGAAGCTATCTTTCATAGTTACAGATTCACAGAAGATAGCTAGTCCACATATTTTCTGAGAGAAAGTTATTGGTTTCAGTGTTTTGGTTTAGTTTACTGGATTTACTCTGGGGTGGGATTTTGTGTTTTTTGGCTGGTTGGTTGGTTTGGTTTATTGTTGTTTGTTTGGTTTGGTGTGTAGTTTTTAGCGGGGAGAGTTGAGGTGTTATTCCGTTTGGTTTTGGTTTGGTTTTGTTTAATTTGCTGGTTTGGGAGAATTGGGTTTTTGCTTTTTGTTTTGGAGGGGATTTTGGTTTTTTGGGGCTTTTTTTTGGGGGGGTGGGGGGGATGTTCTTGTTGCATTTTTACTTTATTTACTTATTTATTTATTTTACTTCAAACTGTTTTAGCACAGAATAGTTTGATCACAATACTTATTTCCAAGCATGACATTCTAGTGATTAAGACAATGAGACTCTATTTTGTGCATATTCTCAGGTAATACACCATGTTTTAGTAGATTGTTTCCAGGTTAAACAATGAGCATTCCAAGGTACCTCAGCAGTGCCAAACTACTCGTAATTATAATCAGTCATGGTTACAAGAAGTTCTTTGTTCCGCAAACATTTCAAATTCTGTACTTCAGAAAATTTATTGTGTCAAATGAAACATAATATTGCCTTCTCTATTTGGCAACAGATGCTGCTTGCAGGTGCTTGCAAATGAGCTTTTGATTATAGCTAGCCAAGACAAATGTAATTTTGGTGGTATTCCTATTTTAGTGTTAATTTAGGTTGCATTGAATGAGTTGCTGGAGATAGTTTCAAGCAGAAAAACTCAAAATACAAACTAAAGTAGGTTAGTGTTGCAGTTTACTTGATAAATAACTAGTCCATTCATTAACTTGACAATTGTTTGGTTAAGTTTCCTTAAGATTATAAAGTGGTTGTGATTTATTTCCTTTAATAGAAAACTGGGCCATTTTGAATGGGTGCTAAGGAAAGCAATTATTCTTGGTGACATGATCTAGACCATCTTTACTAGAAGACTAACTTATCCACAGAAACAAATTACAGCACTCAAAGCTGTTAACTGTCGTAAAAGTTAATCTTTGCTACTTCTATTGCTTTTATTTAACAGATGGAGTAATTTTATTACTATTTACACTGACTAAAAAACTCTTACAATTATCAATTTATATTAAATGTTGCAAAAGAACAAGCTTACAATGCTACTGTGTATGCATAACCAATTGCAGTGGTGTGTTAAGTTTTTATTTGTATGGGCAGCATGCTTCTATTTCAGTATCATTTCTTTCTGTATTTGTATCTATTGCACTCTGAAAGAGTTTCGTTTTGTCAAACTCATTACAATGAAAGTTTGTTAGATTTGGGAACATGTTACTTACAGTCCTACAAAAGTGAACTGCAACACTAGAAAACAAGGTAATTATTTTGTTGTATTTAAAAGAAGAATCCAAAGACTGGGGTTCATGTGAATGAAGCTGCTTAACAGAAAGGGAACAAATGTGTGTTTCATATCAGAGAGGCGAAACTCTTCATCTAAGCTCAATTTGAAGTTAGTCTATTCAGAATAGTTCTCCTACCTGTTTTGCAAATTAAAAATTCATCTAGACTTTATCAGGTAGTTGCCAGATGGCTCTAAATGCAGGAGAAGCCCTGATTGCAAACAGGAGCTTAGTTTTAATGCTTTTTGCTTATGAAGGCTAAGGCAGTCAATACATTCCTTGAGTGCAAGCTTGACAAAAATTCTGTAAGTGAATCAAAGTTCCTTGTATATGACAGGATTCTGGCAACATTGCATGTAATCTATTATTTGGGAAGACAAAATATTGAAGAACTGGCAAAAGTATAAAAATAATATCATAATTGCATATTTGAGGGCCCCAGCAGAATTCTGCTAAGAACAACACAAATTTGAATGTAAATTTCCCTTTATGGCTAGAACTGATGTGGGCAGAAACAACAAAGCTGAATTTAAAAAACATTTTCAAGTCTCTGGACTGCTAATTTAAGAGATGATTAACTAAGAAAGCAAGCTCTCATGTATGGGTTACAGTTCAAGAACACTGAAGCTGAGAATAACAACTGTGTCTTGACTGTTAGTCAAACAGTGTCTGCTCTACATCAAGAAGAGTGTAGCTGCAGCAGTATTCAAATTTTATAATGTAATACAGATATTAATTTCATTAAATATTACATCACTACATCAGCTGTGAGTTACTGTGAGAGAAGCAGCACTTCTCAGAAAGCCAAGCCACATAAACCAAAGTAAATTGGGGGAGGACAGACAGAGCCCCAGAACGACGTACAATAGGAATAATGCTTACAAGAAGAAATCTCCTATACTGTGCCAGGAACGTACTAAACCAAATCAGTTAACTCCATGTAGAACTACCAGGAGTTAGATGTAGGCCTTCACCTTAAATCAAGAGAGAGTTATTTTACTCAAGACAAATTAATTCCTGCTGAAGTTCTTTTTCACTGGAGATAAGACTGTCTGCAGGGCTATACTAGGGATGAAACCATCCCACTGGACTACTGCAGCATCAAAGAAACATTATCCTAACTGCTGAGCAAAGCTACCTTTGCAACATTTTAGCAAGGTTGTTTTCAAGCTGCTTCTGTTAAAAAATACAATCTGGATGCTTGCCAACATGCACATAATTCCTCAAGGAGATACAAACCCAGTGCCAATTCTAAAAAGAGTGCCTGGGAAAAAAATAGACACTGAAATAATTTAA